CCTGCATCTCCACTATAGGCCCACATTTAATCTTTTCTGCCATTCTTTGCTTATATTAATGATAGCGATTCTATTAACACAAATATAATGATCACTTTCTTAAGACAAAAACACTTTTGACGCAAATCATATTCAATTTGACTTTATATACGAGAAGTAGAGGTACTTCTTATTAGTCGACAATAATATTTATTGCATTACAAGAAAATCTTGTTTCACAAAACTCTACTATAATGATAATGAGATTTAAATAAACTTTAAGCCCTGATGCAATTCAAAGTAAAGGTAATACTATAATTATCTTGATTGGAGTCTTAAGTCTGATTTATCTGTCGTTTAAACTCTAGTGAATGATTGGGAGCAATCAAAGTACAATTTACTAATATTTTCACAATTAAATACTGTAGTAAATTAAGCACTACAGTATACAATATTTAGTTTTATAATTAAATTCATGGAAAATTCACCAGAGAGTGGAAACAGAGACAAAAACATATTTTGAAATATATTTTGAATTAAATAGAAATTCTATTTTTAAAAACAGATTAAAATCAAAAACATTTAAATATCAAAATGAAATGACAAACAGAAATACAGACGGAAACACACATATCTTCACAAAAATTTAATGTCATATTATGTTTGACAAGACTTACATCAATACAAGTGTTTAAATTACAACAAAAATTGATATATATTTTAGACTTTAATATGAATTCAAACTCTAAAGTATTTGTCTCACACCCGATTCCACGACTACTTGTGTTCAGATTTTGCAGACAATTGCAAAATAGGTCGGACTCACAAACACCTTAAGGTATTGACGCTAAAACAGAAACCGTCTGAACAGGAATTACCTATAAGTTGGAGCTATAACTGCAGAAAATAGTATTTTTGTTGGTTTAATGAGTTTTAAAAAACGAGAAGAAATATACGATATAATAGTATAAAGGAAGAGAAGTGAGGATTGTATTGAAAAGAGACTCACAATTGGGAACATGTTTTCTGTCTGAAGGTTATCTGTAATACTCATTCAAACTCTATAACTATTTGCTGAAAACAAATCAAAACCAATATTTTGAGGAAATTTTTCAATTAAAATGAAATCGATTATTTAAATTTGAAAAAAACAAATTGTCGTAAAGAATAATATTGTATTGAAAATGAATGGTAACTCATTCTAACTTAATTGAGAAATCATTCGCTTTATTGAATCCTTGAAATAAATTATTTTCTATAATAAACTGGAAATTTAGTTAATGTTATCATTTTGTTATTACTTTTATTTTCGTTAATTAAATTAACATTTGTATAATTTTATATTAAATTATAATTTACAATAATATAAGTATTATCCTTGATATTTCATATAAATAGTAATACCGGTAAAATATAGATAGCTAAATATATTCTAATAAAGCACGAGTTATTAATACACGAGATAATTAAGTTAGTACTCAATTTTGCACTCAATTTGGACTTTATATATTTACTACGATATAAATATTATTACACTTTTAGTGTAAATAATTTGTAATACAATTATCAGTCAATTAATATAAATAATTCATTCAAAGTCTCAATTTTCTACTCGTGTACTAAGAAATCGTATACACTGTCCACTCGTATACAGGAAAGACATCTTATTTAATATAATATGTTTTACAACTATTTTTGAACAATTGTCTCAAAAACTAAACAATTTGTAACATTTAAATCACATTAATATAAAACATATATGAATGACACAATTAAAAGCCAATTGAATCAACAATTGATACAATCAGTCATATTCCTCGGCAGTTATCACTCCATTTTAAGATACAATCAATTGCCACAATGACCCTGCACAGTCATATATTAACAAATACACATTAATCATTCAATTTAGCCGGGTACTATTTTATATAAGTTTATTTTGGTTGAATATATTAATATCGGCAAATTGATTGTCATTTCATGTAAAGTTATATTTATTTAAATTAAATAATATTAACTTAAAATACTTACAATTTAATTATATATTGAATTGAGAGTATAGTTGAGTTGATTGTAAGCTAATTGGGTTACAATGACTGCAATAAATTGAATGCAATTACAATTAAGTTACGGTTAACTGTAACACACTTTACGGCTATTTAAAGTGATTACAAAACTGTGCAAATGTTTGGCATTTAAATGATTCATAAATAACGTGTTGTTTACAGTGTGTGTGAGAGTGACAGACAGTGTTGTTCACAACAAACCCGTCGTTTCCATCAACTCTTCGCACATCTCAGCCATGGATTCAATCCCGAAGTTTACGTCAAAGACACGGACGAGTACTTTGGATAAGTCTCTCCCCAAAGCTAAGTCCGAAGTAATTGTTTTCAATGGTTTGTTAAACATTTTGATATTAATATCACATTTGATTGATGTCTCAAATGAGATCAACATAAGTATCTACGCTCTACTCATGAGTGAAATGGTGCAGTACTGCCAGAATAGGGTCTATACTGTTCCCGAACTGCAGACCAGGTTTGCGATCATATCTACCATTATGTTGACAGTGATTGTGATTGTGATCTACCATTGTGTTGATGACCAGATTGTCGGAAATGGGTTATAGAGTCGGACAACGAGTCATGGATTCGATGGCTATTCGCGAGAAGAACTTCAAGAGAGAGACGCGAATCATCAATATGTTG